TAATATGTATGTTCTGTGACAAGCTGATGTAAAGTTTACTATGTGTCTTTGAGTACTTTAATCAGATTGATGACATTGGATAATTCATTTGTTAAACTGCTACTTATAATGAGGGCCATAAACAAGGGGAACCTAGAAACAGCAGAAATAATGAAGTGCTACCTCACAAACTCTCAGTTTCTTTCAGTTAAGTCAAGGCTTGTTTCCTTGCAAAACTTTATTGCCCATGTGGTTTGGGAATTAATATGAATAGTTTAAAAAACATTAACTCTGAACAAGATTTATGGAAACAGAAAGAAGACTATATTAAGATTTTAGTGAGGACTTCAAGAAATTGTTCACCTGATTTGAGAAATGAAGGATTCAAATTGCCTTCATTAGCAGAGCAATATAGTGCAGAAAATGAGCCAAGGGGATTGGGTGATTTGCATTTTTGCTAAATAATCAAACAATTGTATTTTCCCAGCCTCCTGTATGCCAGAAGAACAAAAGGGAGAAAAACAATCACTCAGATAATGAAGTCTCTTGACACTCTGGCTTCAATTTAGCTTCTCTACACACTGACACTGAACTTGTGGTCTGTTTTATCAGATATTTCACATGGCTGACATTCAGCAATACTTCATCACATAATAATCACAATTTATACACCTGAGAAAAAAATTGGGAGGGGGGAAAGGCAGGGGAAAAGTTGAAGTCTACATCTGAAGAATGATTCATGCCTTTAATTCACTTAATGCATTGTGCTTCACTCTCTCTTTTAGTGTTAAAAGTATCAAAATCTGAAAATCAAAGTTGAACGATTATGGCATAAACCTGCTGTGATGATCCCAGTAGTTATCAGCAGACTGGGTGCCATACCAAAAAGTCTTGGATGACAATTTGAAAGTCTTTTGATAAATTTCTTTTTGTCAATTACAAAGCCCATACTGCATGATTCTGCACACATACATTACAACATCTTACTCAACATCTTGGGAAGAGTTTGATGTGAATGATAGCACCTAAAGAACTGTCAGTTATGATTTCATGATGTTGTATGTAGCAATAGCACTTAGACTTATACACTGTCCCATAGTGGTTACAGCATTTTATAGGCGGTTTTTAACATCAGCATATTGCCTTCAACAATTGCGTCCTCGCTTTACAACCTCGGAAGGATGGAAGGTTGAGTCAACCTTGAGTTTGTCAAGATCGAATTCCAGACTGTGGGCAGAATTGGCCTGCAGTACTGCATTCTAATTACTGTATCACCATCAACAACATAGTGACATAATAACTAAGGTTTCATATAGGAAAACCTGAAATCATGCAAACATAGCTGAAACCATGCAAACATAGAATCACATTGATCAATTCACTCAACTTCCAGACCTCCCTACCTTCTAAGCATTTATGAAATGCTAGCAGGAATTAATTGAGCCAAGTAATGGTGCTATAGAATAGAGTAGAGTAGAGTAAAGTTGAGTAGAGTAGGGTAGAGTAGAATAGAATAGAATAGAATAGAATAGAATAGAATAGAATAGAATAGAATAGAATAGAATTCTTTATTGGCCAAGTGTGATTTTACACACAAGAAATTTATCTTAGTGCAAATGCTCTAAGTGTACATAAAAGAAAAGATACATTCATCGAGAGTCAAGAATCATAAAGTATAACCCTTAATAATGTCATAGGGCACAATAAGCAATCAAACATACTAGGAAACAGTCAATATAAATTGTAAGGATACAAGCGACAAAGTTACAGTCATACAATCACAAGTGGGAGAGGATGGGTGATAAGGAGTGATGAGAAGGTGAAATGGGGGGGGGGGCAAAGTACCTTTGGGTTTGTTGCTAGGTCTGTTTCATTATTGACAGAATAATCCTTTTTATTAAATTTATTTTATTATTAGAAAGGTACTTCTGATTTTGGGTGTTTATACCTAGTTTATATTCTATGCGTATGATCTCAATGGTAAAATATTCAGAAGCTGAAAAAGGTCCAAGGGGAAAATGGAACAAAGGTAATTCTTTAATTTAGCACATATCTAATGATAGTGCTACATGATGATAGTATGAACATATCAACTCAGTCTGCATTTTCACACTATTAGCATGTTTTTCTGCATTTTTTGCAAAAAATCCTGTTTGAATGCTACCTGATAATGCAGCAATATACATTTAAACAATAATTTTGAACCTAATAATTATATTGCTTTAAATTAAAACATTCATTTTTAAAAATAAAATAATCATTTAAATTTATACAGGAAAATAGTGTTTACCGGTCTTATAATCTGCATGTTGATTTCCCTTTATTTACCAGGCATGCCTGTATAAAATTCCAAATACCAGCCATAGAAAATACTATGCAGAGTAAGATTTTGCCATAAACTGATAATTCAGAAATGTCTCAAATATTCATTCTATTATTTAATGTATGTTAAATTGATTAACAAAACAAAAGGTATGTGTATTTTTAAAAATACTGATATATGTATTGTATGGATATGCCTGATTCAGAAACCTGTTCCACACAAAAAGAAATGCTTAAGGAAAGAACACTGACAATTTGTAATATTATTAATTTTAAATTATTAATTTTATCCCAGTGTACAGTGGCACACCCACCCACACACCCACACCCACACGGATTAAGTAATTAAATTCTCAAAGTTTACAAACATCTAATCATTTATGACAGTGCAAATAACACAAATCTTTTCATCATTACATTAACTTACATTACAAATATGAGATGATTCATTCTAAGGCAGCTCAATGTTATTAAGCTGTGGTAAATCTGGTTTGGCAAGCAATAGCTGCCTGGTTAAAATTATAGACATAGCTTTTGGTTGGCCATAAGGGCACCATTTATTTTTTTCCTTGCATATTTAATTTATAGCTCAGGTTCTTTGGTTCTGGAACATGACTCTCCATAATTAAGTCTATATGGGTAAATACATACCATTGATAAAGTTGATCTTTAATTTAGCAGATCAAAATAAAGGCGCTGCAGTGTAAATTCTGTCTATTTCCTCACTTAGGTTTTTAATTAAAATTCTACCCCATATCATCTTCATCCTACTGAGGTTCTTAGATTGTCTAATTCTTTCTCTGATGCAGAGATGAGATTTATAGCTCAAAGAAAACCACAAGCTGCAGAGTTCATTTTGCTGTCAAGAAGGTAGAATTCCATTTGACATAAGTGAAGTTGCTATTAGTTCCTGTGATAGTTAAGATCAATAAACTGCTGTCTTATTGAGCCTACTGCACTACAAAAAAATTGGACCATTTAGACATATTGCCATTCTCGACACATCATAGAAAGTATTAGATTAAATCCTTGTTGCAGGCATTTAAATGTAAACATCATCCAAACAAAGGCTGAATCTTCAAATACTAGATTCTTAGGAAGAATAGAAAAATAAATAAAAAGGAAGCCCCAAACCAATCAATACACCTTAATTTATTCATAATCCCCTTTTAAATTCTTGTTGTTGGAGTTGAAAGGCCACTTGAGTTCCATTCAGAATTATTTCCTTCCTTTTCCTGTCATTACAAAGATTTCTCTAATGAGATCAGATTATTATTCAGTCTTAATTACCATTAAATGTATTGTTTTAAATGTAACATTTACTGCTACTTTGGATCAAGACTTGATGTAGCAAGCCACTCAAATTAATTGACATCTAAAGAACTACATTCAAACTACACTGAAATGTTCTTAAATGCATGTATATTAAGCGCAAACATTATTTTGATTTCTTGTTAGCACCGCTTTTGATAGTGGCAAAAAAATTGTGAACTAAACTTTTTTCAATATATTCTCATATTTGTTTAACTATTCCTTGTTTTCTCACTAGGAATCCAAACCAAGTATATATGTAAAATAAGCCAGTAGTTGCTTAGATATACTATACTTAATGAATTGTTTGAGGTCCTTATATCTCTATTACACCAGATGGCAATCTTAGAGTAATCTAGTATATAATAGGTTATAGGTTGTAAATGAGCGGATACAGACATGGAAGGGAATCTGTTCTTGTGTATGTCAGCATTTAACTCCACCAAAAAGTGTAATGATAGAAAATAATTAATTTTCAACAGCTGTGAAACTGAATGCTATTCCTGTATTATACTTCCCATGCAGTGATGGGATTCAAAAATTTTTACTATCAGTTCTGTGGGCATGGCTTGGTGGGCGTGGCATGGCTTGGTAGACATGGCAGGGGAAGGATACTGCAAAATCCCCATTCCCTCCCCACCCTACTAACCTGCTTTCCAGCTCTGTTCTCCTGTGCAGGGCAACAAAAAAAAGACCCAGCCAATCAGCTGGGACTTGTGAGGCAGAGATGGAGTCAGAAGTGGTATTTGCCAGTTCTCCGAACTACTCAAAATTTATGCTACCAGTTCTCCAGAACTGGTCAGAAGCTGCTGAACACCATCTCTGTTCCCATGTAAAATTATATTGGGATAGGCCACTGGGCCTTACAATGTCCCTTACAAAAGGATATTATAAAAAGTATATAAGAGTTTGCATCTATTATGCTAAAGAAAATATTTCTTCTCATCAGGTTGTAAGTTGTAGAAGCAAGATTAAATTTGAGCTTTCCCTGTGATGATCCAATTACTATCAAGTAAGTTTCCCAAAAGTTTGCACATTGATCTTTCAGTACTCGCTTTTTAGGTAACTGTCAAAATTCTTTATATCCAAGGCATCCAACTTTAAAAGATTTATGTATCCCATGGTCCAAGGATGGTATGGTGTCCCCAAACCTTTTCACAGCCATGATCATAGACCATAGTACTAATATACAGTGTCCAGGTACCAAATTGTAGAGGTACAAATTCCAGGTGTTTTTCCAGTTTATACAATACTAATCATACACAACACTCACCCCTAAATGTATGAACTATTACTTTTTTAAAAAAATACAGTAAAATTGCCTTCAAGTTAAAAGTAATATGGATACATCCATGTATTAATTATCTTTAAATAGAATTGGCTCTTACCATCATGATTGGGATTTCCCAAAGTCCATGGCTCATCTGAGTCAAAATGAGTATCACCTCCAATTCCTGGCCCAGGAAAATAAGCATGAGCCAAAAATCCTCCTTCCCCATCGAATGGAGAACTGTCTCCATGAAAACCTGATGCAAAAATTATAGTAATATCCACGTCTTTCTTGCCATTCTCCAGTTCTACGTAAGGAACTTCCTCAAATGTCAGAGGGGTTACATTCTGCCACACATCAAAGGCACGGCGAATAGCTTTACGGGTTTCAGCATCTCCTACTTTTGGAGTGACATTCTTTATGCTGCACCAAAAAAAAAAAAAAAAAAAAAATCAGACAAGAAGTAAACATAGATGTCACCTTATCAAAAGGACCACACATGTCACTCTTAACTGCACATGATATCAACCATTTTGATGTAGTGGGGACTGAGCAACAATTCTTAAAACTATATCAAGTATTTGTGATATTGGAAGTAGTTCATCTGTAACTGTCAGGTGAGGCTCCATTCAAAATCCAAGAAAGAAAACCTTAGACTCCATTGCTATAGAGCAGGGGTCCCCAACCACCGGTCCGCGGACTGGTACCGGTCCGTGGAACAAGTCCTACCGGGCCGCTGGTTTGCTGGGCGCCGCCATCTTTTTTTGATGAAAAAGTGCTTCCGGTGAGCTTTTCCGGGTAGAAAGCTCACCGGAAGCACTTTTTCATCAAAAAAAGATGGCGGTGCC